GAGCTGTTCCGCGCCTACATCACGGTGAGAGCGGGCCGGGCGCTGGGGGGGCTGCGGCTGGGGCGTGGGCTCCCGCTGGCTGGGCGGGGCCCGATTTGAGTCCCGCCCCCTCTGGCTGCAGTGGGCAGAGAAGCACCAGCAGTGCCAGCGGCTGAAGCTCAGTGACATGCTGGCCAAGCCCCACCAACGGCTCACCAAATACCCTCTGCTGCTCAAGTCGGTGCTGCGGAAGACTGATGGGCCCCGCGACAGGGAGGCCATTGCCACCATGGTAACCCAACAGTGGGTAGGGTCTCCTCCAGCTGTCTGTCCCTCCCTGTCCCCGGGCCTGAAGCCACACTGCCTGTCCCCAGATCAGCTCGGTGGAGCGCTTCATCCACCACGTGAACACATGCATGAGACAGCGACAGGAGCGGCAGCGGCTGGCGGCCGTGGTGAGCCGCATCGATGCCTATGAGGTGGTGGAGGGTAGCAACGACGAGGTGGACAAGGTGGGCACGTGTGTCTTTGGGAAAGGGCCTCCGTCCTGCTGGGAAGGAGGAAGGGCCAAATGGCAGCCGGGGGTGATGCTGGCCTCCTAGCTGAGGTGGGCGCTCAGATCCTAACCTTCCCTACACCCACACCCCCATCCCCAGCTCCTGAAGGAATTTCTGCATCTGGACCTGACAGCACCCATCCCTGGTGCCTCCCCAGAGGAGACACGGCAGCTGCTGCTGGAGGGGAGCCTAAAGATGAAGGAGGGGAAGGACAGCAAGGTGACTTAGGGGCTACACCCCCCCCCGCTCTGCCCCACCCTCCTTGCCCCTTTGGTGTGGACCACCCTTCTTGGGGACCTCATGGGCCGCAGCTAGTGGTTCTCAGCTGCAGAGTCAGTTCAGTGGTGACCCAAGAACTAGCAATTTTTGTAGCTATGGTGATGGACGGTGGTCTGCAAGCAATGTACTCTTTACACATAAACAGCAGGGTCATAGCCATAGAGGTGGGCAGGAGGGGCATGGTCTATGAAGGCCAGGAACTGCCCAGGGCCTTGCTTACTGTGCTGCTCAGGCTTTCGGCACTGGGTAGCTGAGAGTCTACACATTGTGATTTAAAAATCACCTTCCTTTTCTTCTCTTTAATGTAAACTGGTTGAAATAATTCAGAAATGTGTGTCTCAGAGAAAATCATCTTTCTCTGAATTTTAAAGATTGACGGGGGCAGGGGGGGTGCAGAGGTATCTGACAAAAACCTAGTGCTCCCCGCATAGTGTTCCTAGTGCTCCCAGCGCTCCCAGCACTCCCTGCATACCGCAGTGTTCTCAGTGCTCCTAGTGCTCCCAGCACACTGCAGCAAGCCCAGGACTCTGACCCTCTCCTGCTCCCCCACCCTAGATGGATGTGTACTGCTTCCTCTTCACTGATCTGCTCTTAGTGACCAAGGCAGTGAAAAAGGCTGAGAGGACCAAGGTCATCAGGCCACCACTGCTGGTGGACAAGATTGTGTGCCGGGAGCTGCGGGACCCTGGTGAGGAGTACTGGCCCCTGCTCCTGGGCTGGGGCTGGGGCTGCAATGGGAGGGGCTCTGATCTCGACCAACATTGACGTGGGTCTTTCCTAACCAGGCTCCTTCCTCCTCATCTACCTGAACGAGTTCCACAGTGCCGTGGGGGCCTACACATTCCAGGCTAGTGGCCAGGCCCTGTGCCGAGGCTGGGTGGATGCCATTTACAATGCTCAGGTGAGAGCATAGTGGTGTGAGGGTAGGCAGACCAGACTGGAGGCTGCTGGTCCCAGTCCATTCTACCCCTGTGCCCACTCACTCCTACCTTCAGAACGAACTGCAACAGCTGCGCGCACAGGAGCACCCAGGCAACCAGCAACCTCTGCAGAGACTGGAAGAGGAGGAAGAAGAAGAGGAGGAGGAAGGTGAGAGCAGCACTTCGGCTGCCAGCTCCCCTACCATCCTGCGCAGGAGCAGCAACAGCCTCAACTCCCAGCACTGGTAAGTTTGCCCAAGACCACACAGCAGGCCATGTGCCCCCGCCAAGGACTCATGCTCTCAGCCATTGACACCCAGCCATGGTCCCTTCTGAAGAGCCTCATGTGGTAAACATGCAAGGGGATGTCGGAGGCAGCTCAGAACCCACCAGGGTCCAGGCAGGAAGAACAGTTTCTAATTTGAGTGTCAGCTTTGATCTATTAGTGGTGGCTGCCTGGAGCCCTGTGCTGAAGATTCTTAGACCAGAAAAGAGTGTTGGAATCCATTATTGTCTGTTGTGGGCCCAGAAGCTTGAGGAGCTCTGAGCCTTGAGATCTGTTCCAGGCCTTCTAGGCTTCCTCTGGTTGGGCTGACCCTCCTCCTGGCCCCACAGTGCTTCGGATGGCTCCACTGAGACCCTGGCCATGGTTGTGGTGGAACCTGGGGAGATGCTGTCCTCTGAGTTTGATGGTGGCCCCTTAAGCTCCCAGTCGGATGAGCCCTCTCTTAGCTCCACTGCTTCATCGATCACACCCACCAGCGAACTGCTGCCGCTGGGCCCAGTGGATGGCCGCTCTTGCTCCATGGACTCTGCCTACGGCACCCTGTCCCCCACCTCCCTGCAAGATTTTTCAGCTCCAGCCCCTGCGGTGGAGCCAGTGCCCCAGCCCACAGAGTTATCACAAACTCCTTCACCCCCACCCTCGCCCCGCCTCCGCCGCCGCACCCCTGTCCAGCTGCTGCCCAGCCTGCCTCGCCTGCTCAAGTCTAAATCTGAGGCCAGCCTCCTCCAGCTGCTGTCTGGGGCTGCCACCTGTGGAGGACCCCCAGCTCCCAGCCGCAGCTTGTCAGAGCTCTGCCTGGCCACTGTAGCTCCTGGCACTAGGACTCGGGGCTCTGCTCAGAAAGCTGGACCTGGCTGGGATTGCCAGGCAGCATGCATACCTGGCAGCAGCCCTGAGTCTCCAGAGCCTGGGGACAGAACCAGTTGTCTGCCTGGGGAGCCTGCAGGCCCTGCCAGGAGGAGGTACAGAGAGCCACCCTCTCCCAGGGTCCAACCTGAGCCCCCACCAGGGATCTCTGTCCAGCACAGGAAGTTGACTCTGGCCCAGCTCTACCGAATCAGGACCACCCTGCTGCTTAATTCCACTCTCACTGCCTCGTGAGTGGCCTGGCTGGCGTATGGGACAGGTGGCTTAGTGTGCTGTTGTTGTACTAAGTTCTGGTAGTGGGTAAAGGCATGGTGATGATAACTGGGAACATCAGCATTTGGGGATGGGATAGAGAGGAGCCTTAGACTTAATCCCACTGCCTGTCTCCTCCACTGGAGGAGCTGGTCCCACTGAAGTGAGCCGCTCTGAGGGCAAATGCTGGGGCCTCCTACATGGAGGAGCTTGGGCAAGCCGCGTAATCCCACTGCCTGTAGGTGTCTCCGGCAGGTAGCAGTGAAGGGAACTAAGGATCGTGGTGGGGGGAGAGGGTGACCAGAGCCACTCCAAATGGCAGCAGCCAAGGAAATTGTCTCCCTACCCTTGCAGGGAAGTCTGAGCAGATGGAGGCTTCCAAGGTGCCACTGACCAAGGGACAGCAGACAGCATGCTTCTGGGGGTGCGGCACCTGCTTCACCTGCTGCCTCATGTGTGCATGAGCCTGAGTGTCAGTCAGGACCCCAGCTACCACCCCAGGGCTGATTTGCACTTTGTCGGACTGGATGAAGTGGAGGAGGGCTCAGCAGAGCCTCAGGCCTGGGCAATAGTACCCTCTCCACACACCTGCCCAGGAAGTCCCTTGTCCCTTACTCCTGAAGTTACCATCTCTAATCCTCTGGGTTGGGCTCCCAGGCTCCTCTTCCCATGGCCACTCTCATCTGTCCTCAAATGGGATGCACCCTAGCCCCCAATCCCCTCTTTCTCTCCTTCCCAGTCCTGCTGGCCACCTCAGGCTTGGGTTGGCTCTGTGTAAAGCTGCATATTTATTGAGCTTTGTTCTTTTATAAAGACTTGTATATACTCCCCTGGAAAGAGTCCTGTGCTTCTGGAGCCCACCCCTTCCTGCCTGGAGCATACTTGAGCTCCCGGTGGTTCCTCTCTGTGCTCTGTGCCCCTCCAGCCGCAGTGGGGGCCCGGTGGAAGACACAGTGGGAAGCAGCCTTGCAGTACTGGGGTGGGGTGTCATGCGGCACTTTAAGGACCAGGCCTCTTCCCTGCCACAGCCAGGAAGGAAGCCTATCATTAGAGTCCTCCTGAGATGTCTCAGGGCCTGGCCCTGGGCCCTGCCTGTGAGCTTAAGTCAGGGCAAGTGGCCCTCCTCTGACTCTGCTCCCTAGGACGCAGGACTGAGTCATCACCTAGACCCACACCCAGGTCCTCTGGGAAAGGTGGGTCTCCCACCTGGGTCTCTTCGGTGTTTTTGGCCCAACCCCTTCCACGGCCCAGAGGCCGAGAGGGGCAGGCAGTTGCCGGGGCTCCACCTCCTAGCGCCGGTTCTGGGGGCGGCGGGTGCGGCCTGTCGAGGCGGGCAGCTCAGGTGAGCCGGGGGGCGCGGGCGGCCTGGGCAGGCGGCACGCGTCCCCCGGCGCTTCCCGGGAACTGCGGCCCCGCCCCGCGGGCTCCTCTCGGGGCGCGGGGCGGGCCCAGCCGGCGCGGGCGGAGCGGGGAAGCCCCGGGCCGCGCACGCCCGTCGGAGGGCCGAGCGCGGCGCGACCGCCATGGAGCCGCGGCCCGGGGGCTGCGCGGCAGCCGTGGCTGCGGTGAGTGGGGACGCCAGGCCGAGTCAGCGGAGAGCCTCCCTCCAGCCCCGGCGCCTGGAGCGCGGGGCCGCGCCGTCGGCCCGTCTCTGACCTAGTTAGCCCCTCCGGCGGGGCGGGGCCCTTCCGCTGGGAGGAAGCACCGCGCCCGGGGCGGCAGGGGTCTGGGGGCCCGCGGGCGACCCTCAGCACCAGTGGGGCGGCCGCTTCCCGCCCTGGTGGAGGGAAGGGTGTGAGGCAGGGCCCGGGCCTGCTCTTCCCGAGCTTGGACCTGCACGGGGGGGGGGGGGGGGGCGGCGGGAAGGAAGCTGGTCCCTCCGCCAGCCATGGGCACCCCTTCTGCCCAGGAGCCTGAGAGGTGGGCCGCTCCGAGGGCAAATGCTGGGGCCTCTGACATGGAGGAGCCTGGGCAAGGAGGGGCCCCCTCATGGTGCAGCCACACGGGGGGTCAGTAGCACCTATCCTCCAGGCTGTCCTCCTGCTGCTGCTGGGTGTCCAGGGCAGCTTTCCTGGCCCCAGGTGTGACTGCACACGTGACTTCCAGGAGAGGAATGGTCCCTTTTGTTGCAGGGGCTGTCCTGTGGGTAAGTGGCAGCAGTGGGAAAGGAGGGTATTCTGGGGCAGGTGAGGGTCTGGCGGGGTTGGGATGAGGTGGGGGGCTGGGCCGCAGCTGGGGGTGGGCTGGGAGGGAAGTAGGGAGACAGCAAGGGACGGAGGGAGTGACTGGAGCAAGCTGGAGGTGCTGAGCGGTGCCTTGACTGACCCCTGTCTGGGTCCCACAGGGCACTACATGAAGGCCCCTTGCACAGAACCCTGTGGGAACTCCACCTGCCTTCCCTGTCCCCAGGGCACCTTCTTGGCCAGGGATAACCACTTTAAGGATCAGTGTACCCGCTGCCAGGCCTGTGATGAGGAGGGTGAGGGCTGTCTGGTGCTCAGTGTGTGGGGGGGTAGTCTTTGAAGGAAGTGGCTGGCTTGGACCTAACCTTTGGTTGTGAGGACCTTGTGCCCACCCTCCCCACACCCCTCCAACCTGATCCCTCCTCAGGATGCCTCTGCTCCTTTCTTTTCCTGGTCACCTTGTCTCCATGTGCTTTGGCCTCTGTTCTGCTGTGTTGGGCCAAATTCTCTCCCTTTGGGGATAGCCCACTCCCTTCTCTTTGGCCTAGCCCTTTTTTCTGGGCGTCTCTGGCTTCTCTGTAGGAGCCCCTGACTACCCCTGCACTATCTCCCTACACTCTGCCAGCCTTCCAGGTGGCCTTGGAGAACTGTTCGGCAGTGGCAGACACCCGCTGCGGCTGTGAGCCTGGCTGGCTGATTGACTGCTCCGTCAAGCCTTGTAGGGAAAATTCACCCTTCCTCTGCCGCCGCTGCCCAGACTGTGAGGCCCTGTACACAGAGCTGCCCTGTGAGTACCCTCCTGGGCTCTCTTCCCCACTTCCCCTTCTTCCAGCCCCCTCCTCTCCCATGCTGACCCTGCCATCTCTTGGACTGCAGGTTCCAGCAGAGACGCTGACTGTGGGCCCTGCCTGCCTGGCTTCTATGAATATGGCAATGGCTGCGTGTCCTGCCCCACGTAACTTCCTAGCTGTCCTGGGCCAGAGGGGAGGGAGATTGGTAGTGGGGTGGAGGCTTTTGGGGACAGGTGCTGCTAGTTTAGAGATAGGAAGGGACAGGGAGGGGGGAGCTTGGCTCCCACTTTAGACAAACAGGACAGTACATGAGTCTAAGTTCACCTTATGCCAGGTAAATAAGGGGGTACATCTTCACTTTCTGCCAGAATTTTTCTTAGTAATTCTTCCATTCAAGTATTAAGAATGGATCTGTTCAGCTTGGGAGATGGAGGCAGAAGGATTGCGAGTTCAAAGCCAGCCTCAGCAATTTAGCAAGGTGCTAAGGAACTCAGTGAGACCCTGTCTCTAATAAAATACCAAACTGGTCTAGGCTCAGTGGTTGAGTGCCCCTGAGTTCAATCCCTGGTGCCCAAAAACAAAAATTAAAAAAAGAAAAAAGAATGGGTCTGTTACAAGGATGGGTGCGGGCCCCATGCCTGTAATCCCAGAGGCTCTGGAGGAGGCTGAGGCAGGAGGATCATGAGTTCAAAGCCAGCCTCAGCAACTTAGTGAGACCATGTTTCAAAATAAAAAATAAAAAGGGCTGGGGTGTGGCTCAGTGATTAAGTGCTCCTGAGTTCAATCCCAGGTACCAAAAAAAAAAAAAAAAAAAAAAAAAAGATCTGTTACTTTGAGAGAGCCCCATAGTTACAGCTTAAGAACTTGGGCTTTAATTCAGGATTTGCTGCTAGTTTTTGGGCAAATTCACAGAAATAGCCTCTCTGATCTGAGGTTTTCCATCTAATCAGGGGGTGCCAGTAGATTCTTCTCAGGGCTGTGATCAGGGGAAAGCCACCTTCATTTATCCACTGAGTCTTTTTTACTGAGTATCTACCAGTTCCCAGATGTTATTCTAGGTGTCAGGACTACATAGGGAACCAAAGAGGCAAAAATCCCTGTTCTTATGCAATTGACATTCTAGTGACCCTTAATCTAGTCTAGAGTTTTAAAAAACAGTAGTGATTGTTATTGCTTTAAGGACACAAGTGACATTTCAGCAGTACTTTGGGGAAATTCTCGAGCAGAGTGAGGCTCACAGGAGAGAAGCTGGGGAAGGCAAGGTCTCCAGGTTGGGAAGCTGTGGGGCACTCCTGGTAGCCCCTGCTGGGGTGTACCTCCTCATCTAGTCCCTCTTTACAGGAGCATCCTGGGGAGCTGTCCTGAGCCCTGTGCTGCTGTTTGTGGCTGGAGGCAGAGTATGCGAGTGGGAGAACTGGGATGGGCCAAGGGGTGGCTGGGAAGGGGCTACCACCCAGCACCCACCAGCTGTTCTTTCAGTGTTCTGGGCACAGGTGCTTGTAGCTGGCCTGGTGGTCCTGTTCCTGCTTGGGGGCACCCTGATCTATACTTACCGCTGCTGCCAGCCTCACAAACCAGTGGTTCCTGGTAAGTCCACACATACAAAGCACACATACCCAAACAATTTCCAGAGGCCTGGGGTCAGGATGGTTGTTCCAGAGGCAACTCAACCCTGTAGAGAAACTAAGGCAGGGAATATGTACGGGGAGGGGAGGAACTCAAGAGGAGCTGGACCAGCACCCAGGTCCAGGGGCCTTGTCTGGTTGCTGACCAGATCTTCTGTATCTCTGTCAGCAGAAAAAGCTGGGACTGAGGCTCCGACCCCACTGCAGGTAAGCTTCACATCCCAGTATACACTGGGAAGAATTTGCTTTCTGGAACTGGGAGGATATGTCCTGATCTCTGGCATTAGGCATCAGGGGCACAGCATCCAGCACAAGATGGAACTAATAGGCAAATATGCTGAGGGTAGTGGGGCACAGTGGCACACGCCTGTAATCCCAGTGGCTAGGGAGGCTGAGGCAGGAGGAGCACAAGTTCAAAGCCAGTGTAGCAACTTAGGCCCTAAGCAACTTAGTGACCCTGTGTCTAAATAAAATATAAAAAGGGCTGGGGATGTGGCTCAGTGGTTAAGTGCCCTTGGGTTCAATCCTTAATACCACACACACACACACACACACAAGTGCTGAGAGCTGTTTTCAGTGGGTGAGGCCCTCAAGTGGCTATCTACTGGGTCTGGAGGAGTACACCTGGGCAAAGAGTTGGGGGAACAAGAAGATGGCAGCAGGGCAGGGTATTCCAGGCAGAGGTAATAGCTCTTCTGCTGGGCCATACCAAGAAGTCAGGGGCTCTGGGGCAAGCAGCATTGCTTATGGCAAGGAATGTCCACTACTGGCTAGAGACTGCAGTAATGGGGCATTTCCAGGCAGACAGGACTGATGTAGGTTCTCTCTTGGTTTCCAGGCCACCCAACTCTCAGCCTCTGAAAGTGCCCACACCCTTCTGGTGCCCCCTGGCAGCAGTGGGAAGGTCTGCACCGTCCAGTTGGTAGACAACAGCCGGACCCCTGACTGCCCTCAGATCCAGGAAGTGCCCTGCCAGCAGGTGCCACAGTCCTGGGACCAGCTGCCCAGCAGAGATCTTGGTAAGAGACCTCATTGGCCTTAGGCTTGAGTCCATTTTCTTAAGTCTAAGATGGGAATTTAGGGTTTCACGACTTGACCTCTTCCAGTTCCCTGACTGGGATGGGTGGGGGAGATCCAGCAAGCCTCCTGCAGAGGCCTGAAAGCACCTGATCCCATGGTGGCCACAGCCTTTATTCCACATTGGCTCTCTCTGGCTCCACCCCAGGCCCGCCTCTGGCACCCCCGCTCTCGCCAGCACCCTCTGCAGGCTCGTCTGCTGCAGTGCTCCAGCCTGGCCCGCAACTATATGACGTGATGGACGCTGTCCCAGCGCGGCGCTGGAAGGAGTTTGTGCGCACTCTGGGCCTGCGTGAGGCAGAGATTGAGGCTGTGGAGGTAGAAATTGGCCGCTTCCGGGACCAGCAGTATGAGATGCTCAAGCGCTGGCGCCAGCAGCAGCCCGCGGGTCTGGGCGCAGTCTACGCGGCCCTAGAGCGCATGGGGCTGGATGGCTGCGCCGAGGACCTCCGCAGCCGCCTGCAGCGCGGAGCGTGACACAGGGCCCACCGGCCACTTTGACATTCTGGTGACCCTTGCAGAAGCCTTAAGTACAGTTACTTATGTGTGTAGACATTTTATGTCACTTACTAAGCTGGTGGCACGGCCCTGTGTAGCAAGCAGCGCCAGCAAGCCTCCTCCCTGCTCACCTGCAGAGCTCGGGTTAAGGCGAAGAAGGATGAATGACTGTCGGGAGAGACTTGCTCTGAGTTTCGCGGGGCCTTGGTATTAAATCCCTGAAGAAAAGCAGCTTCTGGATAATTCTCTGGGGCTGGGAATGTTAAGTGTGGCTTGGGCTCCATTTCCGCCGGGTGTAAAGGCGCCGGGAGTCTCGCCAGCAGGGTCCGAAGTGCAGGGACCGGTGGTGGAGACCAGTGCAGCTCTGCGCTCCCAAGCCTGCCCCTCCCACGTCCGCCCAGGCCCATTAACTCGGTGAAGGAGAGAAAGTCGTGGCTTCGGCGAGTGAGAGTAAACGCGAGCCCCAGGCGGTGGAGAGAGCTTTAATGGGCGAGCGAGGTGGCAGGATGGGGCGGGGAGCAGTTGGAGCCGTAAGTGCAGGGCTCCTCGCCCTCCACTCACTCCACCAGGGTGGTAAAAGGTCTGGGAAGCGAGGGGCCTGGCTGGGGACGGGGCGCAGACTTAACTAGAGGGAGGTGGGGCCCCGGGAAGCAGCAACTCCGCCCCCAGCTCTGCCCTGACAGGCAGTTTTCACCGGTTTCTGGTAAACAAATGACTGAGAGGAAACCCTCGGGGGTGATGAGAAATGCGGCCTGGGCCGGGTGCAGATCTGGGTCGAGGAGGGAGGAAAACCCCTTCCCCGAGCTCCGGGCCTGCCTCCGCCCAGGATGCGCCAGCGACCCAGGTTCCGGGGTGCGGGGGAGGGGGCTGCATCTGAGCGCGCGCCCCGCAGGAAAACAGTCGCCACCCACGGGGCTGGGGAGAGCTCTGCACACGTTGACATTCAACGAACATGCAAATATATGTAAGTCGGCATGCAAAGAAGCAGCATCTTTTTGCGTCAGCAGCTTGGGCACTTTTTCCCCGGCGACTGTGGCGGCGCGCGCGCTCCAGCGTTGGCGGGGCTGGGGATGCGGGACCAGGGAAAGGGGTTAGGGAAGATTCTGGCGCGGAAGAGGAGGGCCGCGCGGCTCCCAGACCTTCCGCACCGTCAGGCCAAGTAGGGCGGGGGCTGGGGAACCCCCACCTCTTGGAGCTCTGGAGGCTGTGGGCAGGGGGCCGCGAAGTATTACTTAGGGATGTCCCCCTTCTTCAGGATGACCTGTCGCTGCCAGGGCGCCAGCTTGCTCTCATCGTAGCCCAGTGTCCGCAGCTTCTCCGACTGCTCTTTCTCCCGCTGAATCTCCTCCTGCTTTTGCCGTTCCTCCTCTTTTCTGCAGATGGGGTGAGGGCAGAACGCAGTGAAGCCTGGGGCCAGAAACTAGGGCGAACCAGGCACCAGGATGGGCATGGGAAATGTGGGCTATGAAGGACAGGGACTGGACTGGGGGCAGGTTGGGTAATTGGGCCACAGAGAAGCTGGATGAGTGGGAGGCTGTGGTTGGGTTAGTATGGGCTGCGGTGTTACTGGAAAGGAAGGTGATGGGTCAGGTGTGGCACTGTGTGAGGAGGGGAGTTACAGGGTTTAAAGGGGAGAGGACTGGGGCCAGGACCTCAGTTGTCCAGAGCTGTCAATGTGGATTATTGCAGGTTGGGGTTGGGCATCTAGACACCCCATTACCGAGAGGCAGAGGCTGGGGAATTAGGAATAGGTTATTAGAGCACAGAGGTAGGGGACTGGGGATGTAGCTCAGTGGCTCAGTGGTAGTGCTTCTCCAGTACCACAGACACACAGAGACATAAGGGTAACCTGTTCTGTTGACAGGCTAGGCCCTAAGCATGAGTGGGAGTGTAAAACACTTCATTAGTGACATATTGATTATATGTTGACATATTTTTTGATGTTTTGGGTTAAATTTTATTAAAATGAATTTCACCTGTGCCTTTTTATTTTCTCAATGTGGGCCCTAGAAATATTTAAATTACATGTAGAGTTCAAATTGTATGTCTAATGGACAGCACTGGGCTAGATTACTTGGGGCAGATGATCAAGGTAGTGATCATGGGGTTGGGCTAACTGTAGGGTAGAAAGGCTGGGTTAGTGGAAGATGGGCACTGGCTCATTTCGGAACAAGGTTATCAGAGCATGAGAGCTAGACTTTGGGGGCAGGTGAGCAGTTACTGGGAGAAAGGGGTCCAGTGGTGTTATTAGAAGCAGAGCAGTCATGCTGCAAGAATCGAGTGACAGCATATGTGTTGGATGAAGGGGCAAAAGACTAAGTTACTGTAACTGGGTGGAAAGGGTGTCAGGTCCAGGCCAGCCCTGCACTTACCGCTTCTGCGCCCTGGAAGGAGAAAGAGACACTGTTAGTTGATTCTGCCACCTGAAGAGGACAGTCAAGACACACAGCCAGCTCAGCCTCCTCCTGACCCCCAGCTCACCTCTCCTCTTCCATCTTCTTCCGAAGGAGGTCTCGCCTCCAGGCAGGCAGGCTGGCCAGCCGGGCCTCCTCCTCCTCCTCCTGAAACAACCATAAAGCTTCAGGATCGGTGTGGCTGAGAAAGACAGGGTGGGGATGCACCCGCAACCCAGGGCACCTGAAGGGATCCAGGGACAATAGAACACAGATGTGGTCACAGGAAGAGATGCTTTTGATGCCCATCTAAGAGATAGATGAATGAAGGTGCCTGATAGTCTCCTCAGAGGGTGCCTCTTGCCCCATTCTCCACATGCCCTCCACCCCCCACCACGACCCAGGCCAGAGAACTACAGGTGGTGCCAGGGAGATCAGAGCTGAGATGGAGAACGGACAGCTGGACCCCAGAGGCCTGAGCCTGATTTACCATGGGGGCAGGTAGATGTATTGTACCAGGTCCATCATCCAGAATCTCTGTACAGAAGACTCCCCCCACCAACCACTACCACCTGGCTAGCTCAGGGACTCGGAGTGTCCCTGGTTCCCCTGTGAGGTACCTTATGGCTCATGCTTGCCCTTTTCCCAAAGGAGTGGACACCTGCTCCACAATTGTGGGGCTGCAATGACACTGTATGTGAGGGGCATCCAACACAGACAGCTTACAGCAAAGGGCTTTATTCCTTGGATGTCACAGAGGAGAGTCTGTCCACATCACACATCACACAGAACACCACAGGTGGCCAAGGAGGTAGCTGCAAACCCATTGAAAAGCCAGAGACACAGCCACAGTGCCCCAAGATAGGGCCATGATCCCTCACTCTCTGAGGGACTGATTCTGCTACCTGGCTCCCCACAGAGCTCAGCAATGGGGCTAGAGGGGAACACCCAGCTTTGCCAGGTGCCATGCCTTGCGTATACAGGCAAATGCCCCATTTCCTGTCTAGAGGGGACCTTGAAGGCTGAGGCAGCCTGGTCCTGAGCAAGCAGCTTTTCACCGGTCCTGGGTTCTTCCAGCCCCTGCTGGCTTCTGGCTTCTGGAGGGCATCATGCAGGTATCCAGACCCACGTTAAGATGCTCAAGAGTAAATTCTGAACTCACTGCTCAGATGTCAAACATCTCTGCCTCCTTCTCTTTCCAGAAAGAGAAGCTACGGTCAATGTAGCGACAGATGTCCTCATTGCTGAACTCGCCCATCTCAGACACCAACTCCAAAGGGTCCTCAGCAGGGGCTGGGAGACAAGATGGGTCTGAGTTGGGGGGATGGGTGGCAGGAAGGGGCTGTGGTGCTGGGGCAGGGGCCTCTGGCTGCTCCTCTGTCAGGTCCTCCATGTCAGCTGGCACAGCCTCTTCGGGGGGCTCCTTCTCCTCCTCTTTTTCTTTCTCTTCCTCTTTTTCCTTCTCTTCTTCCCTGGCCGGCTCAGCCTCTGGGCTGTCTCCAAAGAACTGGCACCTGAGGTCCTCGAAGCCATCGCTCCAGCTGCGCCTGCCGGCCTCCACCTCCTCAATCACAAGGCGGTGGAAGAGGCGGATGAGCTCCCACGGGTGGCTGCCCAGCCGGTCGAACATCTCATAACACAGCAAATGGCGGAACTTGCGCTCCTCGCGGCTCAGGCGCATCTCTAGCAGCTGGAAGTAGCCAAGCATGAAGAGGTCCAGCGTGAGGCTGTCGTAGTGTCGAGGGGTGCCACCGTCCAGGGGTGGCAGGAAGTGCTGGGGCCAGTACAGGCCATGCGCCAGGCCTGGGCCTCGTGGTTGCCGTGCGGGTACTTGCTGTAGCAGACTCCGCCAGTGACCCAGCAACTTGCCTACCACTTGCCTCTGCTTCAGCAAGTGCCGCCACCGCTTATCCTGACCGTAGGCCTCATTGTCGCCCTCCGGGGGCGGGGAGGCTACCTCTTCATCTGGGACAGTGCCAGCGCCTGCTGCCACAATGCGAGGCAGAAGTTTGCGCAGACGCACCTGGGTGTGGCGCCCAGGGCCCCGGAAGGTCCACTTGCGCCAATGCTCCAGGAAAAGGTAGACAATGCGCTCTTTGCGCATGTCGATGTAGTCCTGGACGCCGGGCAGCTCAGTGGAGAGTGGCGGCCTGTGCGCTATCTGCTCGGGCTCTGGCAGTGCCACCTGGGGGTCCTGCACCTCAGGCAGGCCCAAGGTACCCAAGGGCTCTTCAGAGTCCAGTAGTCCGTTTGCCACCGCAGCGCTCTGCTCTTCGGAGCCGGCAGCCACGTAGTCCTCCTCCAGGATGGGCTCACGGTCTGGAGTGCTGGCCGGCTGCGGGAACTTGTGGTGCTGGCAGCTGGTGGACGCCGCGCCCTGGGCACGCAGCTCATAGGTGGCTCGGAGTTGCTGCACCGAAACGCCGCACTCGAGGATCTCGCGCGCCACGGCCTCCCGGCACCAGCTGAGAGAGTGCGAGCGGCCCAAGCAAAGCGGCCCTGGTCGTGAGGGTGCATCAGGCAGCGGCTCCAGCGGCTGGCCAGTCTCGGCCGTCAGCAGCTCCGCCAGGTGTGCGGGCCGTCCGCCCAGTGCGGCCAGTAGCGTGGCCATGCTCTTGAGCAGCGTGGAGATCTTGCTGCACCAAGCGGGCAGGCTGGCGGCGCGGCCGTGCATGCGGCGGGGGTCAATGGTGAAGCGTGGAGCCGACAGGGCGGCTGAGACGGGCAGCAGTTGCTCCAGCTCCAGCTCCAGCTGTCGCAGGCGCGCTTCCAGCTTCTGAGCCTTGTGCAGTACCTGCAGGTTCTCGATTTGCTGCTCAATGCGGAGGACGTCAGCCTCAGTCATGAGCTCCCCGAAGGGCCCAAGGATGGCGTTGTGCTCCTGGGAGTACCTCCAGCCCTCCGGGGGATAGCAGCAGGAGCTAGCCGATGTCAGCTAAGGCGGGGAAGAGAAGAGAGGGGAGGGAGGCGCGTCTCCCTCTGGCCCAGCTCCCGCAGCGGAACCTTTTGCATGTCCTGGGTGGTGTAATGGGTTGCATTTGTAGGGATGGGCCACGCCTGGCTGGCGGGCTATTACACCGCGCAAAGGCTTCGGCTCCTGGCTCTGGACAGTGTCCACTTTGGTTGATGGTGGGGGCACACCTGGACGCTGGTCGCTGTTGCAAGGCAGGGAGGGCAGGCCGCCAGAGAGGATCTCCATGCCTGGCTTGGCTGCTCATTACACCACTCAAGGAACATGCGAAAGGCCTTGGAGCTGAGAGGCAAGGAGGCCCTTCACAACCCCATCCAAACCCTAGTTTCAAGCCAGACTCCAGAGAAGCCTCTCATGCTAGCCCACTGATGCTTCTCAGGCTCTCCTGTGTCCCATGCTCTCCCTATCCGGGGGGAAAAGTTTTACATGCTGAATGAGAGACCACACCATTCTACTGCAGCTCCCACTGTGACTCTCACCCCTTCCTGCACCCCACTGGACTAAGACAATATTTGGGACGCTTCTCATTTATTCCTCACTTTCCTCTACCTCTTGATCAGCTCTCTGTGGCCAGCTTTTCCATGCTGGGGGCTGACCTTACCTCCCCACAGGCCTCCTGATCCGTCCTGACCCACTGTAGTTTCCCACATACAGGGATGACGATGCAGCTGCCTGCTTCACCGCCCCAGGCTCCCCACTGCTCCAGGAAAATGCCCATTCTCTTCCAGGTAGCTGGCCAGGCCTCACAGCGCCAGATGTGATCACTGCTTTGTATCCCCAGTTGTTACTCTATCACATCATCTGTTTTGTCTCCTTGGGGACATTTATTTGCTTGTTGATATGCACACACACACACACACACACACACACACCTCCCTTGGAAGCAGGCCTTGGTATATTCACCACAAATTCCCAGATTTCACATGTGTGTGCCATGTAGATGGCACTCAGGGAACATCTGCTTCATGAATGATGGTAATCATCAGCTAGTGTTAATTAGCCCATCTCACAGATGCCATACTGAGACTGGACAAAGCTAAGTGCCAGCAGCTGGACAGTGGCAGGGCTGAGCAGAGCCCAAGTCAGTTTGGCTGGGACCAAAGCCCTCTAGACCACACAGTGAGGTCCTTGGACAGTGTCATCATCAGCCAGACCTAGTTGCTTGTTAGAAATGCAGAATCTCAGCACCCCCAAGATGACCTGAAACAGAATATCAAGGTCCCAGGTGATTGGAGGGCACAGGAGAGCTTGGTAAACATTGCCATCTTTCTTCTTCTAAGAACAAGCTGCTGGGGCAGAGAGACTGGGACCAGTTCAGGGGGGTTCTGCAACCTCATTTTCCTCCAAAGGCATTGGGCACTGTCTGAGGCTGAAGGGCCCCTTCAGGTGGAGAGGTGGCACAGGGAATGGACTGTAGGCTGAACGCAGACCCCAAGGCTTTCTGGGGAGCCCTGCCCTACCCACCTTCCGCTTCTGCTCCTCCTCCTCCTGCATCTTCACCATCAGCTTGCGCACCATCACTTGGCGCTTCCACTCAGGGATGGGCCGGCCCTGCTCATCGTGTATGGGGACGAGAGTTTCCACATTGAGCTGCACACCTGGCGCAGGGGTGGTGGGTGGTGCGGGCACTATGCTGCCATTGAGCAGTGGCTGAGGCCCCACGGCTGGTGGAGTGGGGCTCCGGGCCCGAGATGGGGCAGGTGACACAGGTGGCACCTGTGTGTCAGGCTGCAAGAAGAAGCACTGGGGCTGAGTGTTGGGCAGGCAAGGGGAGCCAGGGTAGGGGCACCCGTCAGTCTCCTACCTGGGTTGCTGGCTGCCGGCTGCCTGAGAACACTGTGGTCAGCCCCTTGCTCTGCGGTGTTGGCTTCAGGCTCTTGCCTGCCTTGATCTCAGCCAGTAGCTCTGAGTTGTCACCCGTTGGGGACATCATGTTGAAAGACTTAGTGCCTGCCCACAGGAGGAGAATCACTGATTGGGGGCAGGATTATAACCCCACCATCCTCCACCTTTCTCTCTGCAGCCCCCATCCCAAACCAGGACAGGTGGGGCCCTCCCTGGGGCCAGAGGTAGCTCTCTAGATCCCAGGGTACCTCAAGCGCTTTCAGGGCACCCAGAAGTGGGCCCTCAGCTCCCAGCCCATGGTGGCCCCACCATTCTCCTGGCCCTACTCACGGGGCGTAGAGGCCCCGCCTGGAGGCCCCTGGGAGTTCATGGTGGCTGTTGGAATGGCCCTGGGGACCCTGGTATGTCTCCGCCCAGCCACCTGACCTTTGTCCCAGGTTCCCTGGCTCAGCCCTACCAGGGTGGAGTCTCTCTCCAGCCCTCTCCCTGCATCAGCAAAGCCCAGTGACCTTTGGACTGAGTCAGCTGGGGCTTCCACAGCCTTAAGGACTCAGGACCCTGGAGTACTGGCACCTAGCCAGACCACCCTCCCTGTCCCCACACCCACAGATGAGCAGATACACTGACTGCAAGCAGGAAGCACACTTATGGCAATACACTACTCAGCTCCCGGGGACCCTGGAAGGGGGTGCTTACTAAGGACATGGGAGAGGGCACTGAGGAAGAAGGGCCAGGCAGATGGCATGCAAATGCTTGGGCAGAGTTTGCATTTTCCAGCGTGGCTGGTGGAGGTGAATGGGGATTTTGGAACCCTGAGGAAGGGGTCAGATCTGGGGGTGGAGGTGAACAAAACAGGCCAGAAGCTCTCAGCTGCCTGGGATGGGGATCCCAGGGTGCATCACAAGGAGAGGAAAAGAGAGACAAGCATACAGTCTGCTTTTTTTTTTTTTTTTTTTGGCAAAACTGTCAGCCAGGCACAGAATGATTGGGCACATATGTGGGTGTGGTGGGGGTATGAGGGTTGGTGTGGGGTTCAAGAGCCCCTCTGTGACATTGAGGTCCCCCCTTGCCTACTGGCCCCTGGTCTGCCCTTTCCTCAAGTCCCAGCCCGTTCTGTCTGGTTTCTCCTTGATGAGCCTTCTCCCCACCCTCAGCCTCAGCCAGGAACCGCGCGCAGCTACTCACTCTTCCTGTGCCTCAGGACTCTCGCTTCTAGGAACCGAGAGAAGAGAGAAGAAAAGTGACAGCAAAGTTAGGAGGGAGAGGGGGCCAGGGTAAGATGGGGACAGCAAGAGGACCAGGGAGGGCAGGAGGGACGAGAAGAGAGGAGGAGCTTTCCTGTCCTGTGACCCTGGCTCAGTCCACTCTGGGGCCCCATAAGGGTGGTATGTCCAGTTCCCTGAGTGCTGCACAGGGTCACCACTGGCCCTGGTCTGTTCACAAGGCCTCCGCCTTGGCATTTGCTTGGGCTAGGGCACCCAGCCCAGGCTCTGATAGGAGGGGTGTCGGGGGCAGCCCAAAGTCTATTTCTTCTTCTTCTTCTTTTTTTTTTTATATTTATTTATTTATATGTGGTGCAGAGTCAAACCCAGTGCCTCACACATGCCAGGCAAGAGCTCTACCGCTGAGCTACACCCCTGTCCCCATTTCTCCTTGTCCTTGCTGCAGGATGCAGAAGAACGGAGGAACTGACTGCAGAGGTAGGGTGGGCTGGGGACATTCTGGAGGCTCAGCCAGTAGTGACATGCTCCCATGGCCCACGCTGTGTGGACTGGGGCTCCATATGAACCACACTCCTAGTCAGAGATGAAGCTTAGGATGGGGCCACTGAACGTGGTCCCTGCACTGAGTGAGTAACTGGGTGAGGAAGCCAACCTGCTGGTCTGGGTTGGGGGCACCTTCCAGGAAGCCTGTCAGGCAGAGCAGTGCCCCATCCTACAGAAGAGAGGATAGGAATCCTGGTCACCAGTAGTTCTTAATAAAGGATGCCCAGGAGCCCTTGTAGCTCATGGTAGAGCGAGTGCTTACCCACACACGCTGCCCAGGGGGATAGCCAGAGGGAGAAGGGCCCCGGAGGAATCTGACTAGGAAGAATTCCTGGGGTATGTGAGAGGACTCAAGTCTGCGCTAGTTTGGAAGAACCAGAGGAGAGGTGGAGGGGAACTGAGGATGGACAGGGGCAGGAAGAACGCCTATGAGCAGTCCTGCCTCCTGAAACTAGTCCACTCATCGCTACCCGTAAAACGGGTTCATCAGAAACACCAGCCACCAGAGCTGAGAGACTTCCTTAGAGGAAGGGAGGAGGTCTGGAGAGGAGAGGGGACCTGCCTGAGGCCACACTTCCCAGTCCCGCTCTGGCAGGAGGGAAGGTAACTCAGAGCCTTCGCTTTGGGTCAAGTCTTCAGTGGGGTGGGGGCCCTAGGGAAGAAGCAGGAGGACAGAGGGCGGACCTGCGGGCGCACTGGGGAGGGGGCGGTGTCTAGATTTCCCTCCCCCTCTGGGGCTGGCGCCGCCCCCACCGGCAACCCTCCCCTACTCACTGCCGGTGGACGACGAGGAGCGGCGCTGCCCGCAGCCGGAGCCCGCGCCCTCCAAGGGCAGAGGTGGGGCAGGCGGCAGCGAGCTCTGGGCCTCCGGCAGGGGCGGCGGAGGCGGCGGGGGCGGCGGCGGCAGCTCCATGGACGGCTTGGAGTCCGCGGTGCAGCCGTTCTGCACGTGGTTCCCCGGGAGCAGAGCCGCCTGCGGGGGAGCGGAAGGGCTGGCTAGTGAGGCGCGGGCTGCAGGGCCGGATCCGGGGCGGCCGCCGGGTGCGGGCTGGAGGGCACGCACCTCCTCGCTGTGCGCCATGCCCGGGCGTGCTGCCAGCGGCTCCCCGGTGCAGCGGCCCAGCTGGCGGTAGTAGTCCCCCGTGCTGGGCTGCTTGATGAAGGTCCGGGACTTGCGGCCGGAGTCCTGCCTCCGCAGCCCGTTGTGGTGGTCGCGGGAGCTCGGCTGCGGGAAGACCGATGGGCTTTGACCACTTGTCCCCAACACCCCGCAACGCCCCCTTCCCCAGCTCTTCTCTCCGGGGCTCACGGCCAGCAGCCGTCGAGTGGTGCAGCCGCCGAGTCCCTAGATTCCCCTGTTCTCAGGGCAACACGGGGCTAGGGTCAAGGGGGCCTCGGTGGAAGGGAAGCCTGGACCGGCCCTACAGGGAGGGGTTCTGGGCAGAGGCCAAGGGCACAGGGGCCCCCACTGAGGCCAGAAGGGGCGGGTCCAGGGGCGGGGTGGCCCAGCCCCGACGCCAGGGGGAGCCGGCGAAGGGATAGCAGCTCTCAGCTTAGTAGCCCTGTGGCCCGGACCGCACCCTGCAGCCAACCATGCGTCCTAGGGGGGTTTCGGCCCCTAGGGAGCCCTGCCCAGAGCCGGTGCCCTGTTAGATTCCTGCTTGCCCAGGGTTCCCGGCCGACAGGCCCCGAGTTTGTTCCTACCTGCGACTGTGCCGGTGGCCCCCGCTGTGCACCTGGCGGCGGGGGCGGCAAGGATCCGACACCTGCGTTACCTGATCCTTCCTCTCAGGTTACAGCCCGGCCCTCGCCCGCCCGGTCGCTGCTGGCCTATGGGCTCTGTCGGCCTGACATCACCTAGGACCCGCCAATCCCAGGCCGAACCCCCCAGCAGTCAGGGATGCCACCGAAGCCCAACTGCTCCTCCACACCTGGCGGGTATGCTGCACCGGTCGCACCGGCCAGGTGTGGCCCCGCCCCCTGGACCTTTCTCCCTGAACATGGTCCTGGCACCCCGACCTTCAGGCCCCTACTCATTTGCCAGAGACAGGATGAGGGTCTGACCGCTGGCGGTCTCATTTGGCTCCTGGGTTCCGGGTCGCGTCCCCTCCTTTCCCTCCTGCATCTGGAAACCATCGCCATCCTCGGAAACGACACCAACACCCGCGCACAAGTCTCGGGTTTCAGGGGCAGCAAGGCGGGCTCAGGTAACAACTCAGCCTGCCGCCCCATTGCGGATGCCCCCAGCTAAGCCCAGCTCCGGGAGAAGGACCGGAGGTGGTGGGGGCTGTCCTGGGCCCCATCCTCCCAGCCTGTGCGTCCTCGAGGTGGCCTCGGACCCTCTGCACCCGGCCCGTCCAGGCTCACGTTGCAGGAAACGCGACACGCTGGATTTCTTTTCTAGGCCAGCCAGCCCCCTCCACACCCCCTGCAGCCCCAGAGGCACGACCCTGCTCTCTCCCGCAGCTCAGGCACCCGTGCAGGGCGCAGCAGGCACACAAAGGTCTCTTTGTGGAGCAGACCCAACTCCTGCAGCTCAGCACGCACACACCCCAGAGGGGTGTGGGAAGGCACAGTCCTGGCCCTTGGCTCAGGCATGGGGACTGGGTGCTGGTCAGACCACCTGTCCCAGGCTTTGGGCAGGGCTCACATGCCAGCCCAGGCTGAGAAAGTTGACTGGGCCCAGGCCACTTGCAGCCCCAGCAGAGCCTACTAGAGCTCCCTCCAGAGATGAAAGGGGAATCTGATTTTAGAGCTTGGTCTGGGGTGGCATGAAGGGGGTGGCAGTTGGAGTTCTTGTGGAGCTCAATGTCCCTCCCGAGCCTCTGTGACAGTGGCCTTGTGACCTGTTCCACCAGTGCAAACTGATTATTCAGAGGTCTAGGCTCTGACAGGACCCTGGGGGGGCTGCCGCCACACACCTGGCCACCTGTGGTCTCATATATTTTTTTTCCACCTCTCAGATCAGCTGGGCCCCCTCAACCTCCCTGCCCAAGTCCCAGAGCTGCCCAGACAGGACCTCTGCCTGCTTCCCTGCAGTCCCTGGTGACCTGGACCACTCATAATCACTGTGTCCTCCCTCACACCACCCTCCTAAGGGTGCTTGCTTCTCCCCCCAGGGTGCCCACCTCAGCACTGACTCCTCCAAAGTACAGAAGCTCAAACCTCAGCAGGAGCCAACCTCAGCTTCTTGGCCACTCGGACAGCAGGTGCTGGGCCCTGCTGGTGTTCACTCACCTGACACACCCTCCTCCTGGCCCTCACCCTCAAGCTACGACATGGCATCTCCCACCTGGAAGACATCTAGGGTTCCATTCTTCACCTGAGCCCATGGCTGTGGGCATGGGCATGTTAGTGGAGAGCAATCTGCACACGTTCTCTGTCAACTCAGGGAAAACCCTGCCACTCCATGCAAGAGGCAGCATAGACCCAGCTCCTGGTGAGGCACAGCCATCCGGGGCCAGATGTTTTCACCCCAACTTGGCATGCAGGGCGATGTGTTTGTGTAACTCACTTCCCTGTGCCCAGTGCAGCCCTGAGCCCTCGTGGAACTGATCAGGAGCTTTGACTCTTGAACATGCCCTGGACCCAGGGACCCCACCTGTGTCTACTAGCCAGGCCAGTCCCACCCCTGGGAGGCAGGCAGGGGGAGGGCTCACTACCTCCTTCTTGAGTGGCTCTGTCTCCACGTGGCGGAGCTTGTTCTTGGTCTGCATGTAGATGTCAGCTGCATGGAGCCCCACAGGGGGGTTGGGGGCTGGGTAGCCTGGTGGAGGTGGGGGCAGCTGGGTGCCTGGGGGTGGGGGCGGTGGCGGGAAGCTGGGGGGCGGTGGCGGGGGTACAGATCTCCCTATCTTGCTCTGAGACAGGCCCAGCTCCGGGTTCAGCATATCCATGTAGTTCTGTATGTCTGCGGCTCTTGCGCTGGAAAGTCCTGCGGAGGCAGCAGGGAAGGCCGGGTGTGGGAGTTTGCAGAGAGGCTGTCCCCCAGAACTTGCCAGACTCCCCACCACCTAGAAACCACTTGTTGAGAGGCAAAGCAGTCTCTGGGTGCTATTCGATGTGGCTCACTGTGGCCTCTGACAGTGCTGGATGGTTCCTGCTCCCCAGCCCTGCACTAAGGTTGGAGGACAATGTGCTCAGGTTTGGAAGGGAAGCAGCAGGGGGCTTTGGGCTCCAGGTGTGCCTGCAGGGCAGGGCCACCTGGACAGGGGAGAGGCAGCTCTTCAGGGAAGATCTGGCAGAGCAGGTGGCAGGAGTCTGGATGGCCACACCCAACCTTCCGGGGCACCTAGTCAGCTCTGCAGTCCACCACCTGGTGACAGGAAACAGGCACTGCGGGCGGACCACGTTCATGCTCAGGGTGTGGTCAGTGTGTAGACCCATGTGTGGCTTTGCCCAAGGTTTGTGCAATTGTGTATGTTTGAGCCTTTCACATTTATGCACACAACTCTTTGTATTTGTGAATGTGTCTGTGTTGGTCTGTAGACACTGTGTGCATGTATCTCTCCAGTGAAAAAGCAGGTGTGAGTCCTTGTGTAAGTGCACGCAGACCTGTAAGGTGCACACGACTCTGCTTGTGTGCCTGAGCATTCCTATGTATGTGTATACTGTGTTTACAGACATACAGATGTGACTTTTGAGTGTGGGTAGGCAAGAACAATGAACCATGGGTGAGGTGCATGTGAGTTTTGGGGGGGAATACATGTGGATGTACATGTGGTTGTGTGGTGGGCACACAGGACCCTGGGCGTCCCCTCTGGGAGTTTAGGACAGTGAGGGAAGGGCCGCCTGTGGTGGACCATGGGCAGGATGCCCTAGGCAGTGTGCTTTCCCTCCTCCCTCTCCCTCCAGCCCACTCACCACGAGGAGGAGGAGGAGGACACTGGCCCTTGATGCTGGAGTGGCTGGAAGAGCAGGAGTCGTAGTTGGAGAGGGTGCTGGCAGGCGAGCTGAGGTCAAAGTTCTGTGGCTGGACTGACATGGTGGTATTGGGTGAGGACATGCCCGAGTCAGGCTGCTTTGCCTCCAGCTCAGTGGACGAATCCTGGGACAGTACTCGATGCTCCACACTCTGAGGAGAAGGCAGGAGGGCTGTGAGGGCAAGCCTCCTCCACAGACCTGCGCTTTCTGGGCCAGGTCCCATTCAGGCATGCCCTTGCTGTGTGACTTCAGTCAAGCCACTTCCCTCTCTGAGATCCTTTCCCCATTGCAAAAGGGTATTGGGTTCTTCTGAGGCTAAGATTCAAGTCCAGCCCCCTAGCAGGATCTCGGGTTCCAGAGACACTCCCATCCTGGCCCCTCCCTGCTCAGGAGGCTAGAAGCCACCAAGGGAAGGGGCCCTGGGCTGCACCCCAGGGAGATTGCCATGCACCAGCCTTCCCTCATCAACCAGCAGAGGGCCTGGGCTCTCATGTTTCTTCAGGAGGGGGTTTGGGGTGGGGTACAGGGAGAGCCGTCCCCTCTTACCTGGCTGAAAACCCCCTGTTTCTCCTTTCCCAACCTGTCAGCTCCCAGCACCAACCCAGCCAGTCTCCTGATGGAGCTCTGGGGGCGGGGAAGGGTGGGGCCTGGTGGCCCAGCTGAGCTGGGATGGGCAGCCCCTGCGCAGGCTCCCAAGCCTGTGCCCCTCCCTCCCGCCGTCTGTGCCTCTGACCACAGGCTGGGATTGGGCTGGGGTGGGGGCCCTGCTTACATTGCCCATGCTGTCCTGCTGCCGGCAAGCCTGCTCTCTCTGCTGCCTCCTGCCCAGACCTACTCCTCCCTGCCCCATGCCCCCTCCCTGCCTGAGAAGTGTCACAGGCCCCCTGGGAGAGGGAGGCAGCCTGGCACCAGGTAACAGCTCGGCAGCCACGCTCATTGGCCCTGTAATTAGGGGCTCTTTGGGAGTGTTTGCCTTTTCTGGGCCAGCATCCTTGGTGGCTTGTATCTGTCACTGCTGTAGCTGGGCCTGCCTGGGTGAGAGTGTCAGGCCCTCCTGCCCACCCACCCACATTCAGGAGATTCAGCCTCTGCTCACTATCCTAAGAGCCAAAGGGGAGCCCAGGATAATGGCTTTGGGGGACAGCCTGAAGGTGCCCTTTTCTTGGCTGACACTAGTGGGCACCAAGGGCACCTGGTCCTGACCTCCATGGGCTACAGACACAAAAGGCTGGAACTCAGGCTTTGCAGCCTGAGAAAATGGCTTTAAATTACCCCCCTCCACTTATTAGCCTCGCAACCTTGGACAATCACTTGTCTTTTCTGTGCCTGTTTCTTCATCTGTAAATGGGTAAGTACAATGTTCCTTGCCCAGTGGGTGGCCAAAAAAGACTTTAAAAGTTAAGTGCCATGCATGGCATGATATCTAGAGAATGTCTTATGTGCCAACAGTTACTATAAGATGAACTTGACACCTGCCAAGCACTCAGCCCGCCAGAGTCAAAATTCAATAAATTATTGCTAGCAGTGGAGCAAACTCTCAGGAGGTACTGGAGGGTCCTGGAAGGTCCTGGGCTCTGCTGCTGCGCCCACAGCCCCAGAACAGAGACAGATTCTCTCAGCTGGAAGGAACTCACCTTTGGGGCAGAATGGCCCTTGACAGTGCCTACCCCCGCTTGTAGGCCCCAGTGACAGGGTACTCACTAGCTGCAGGGCCACCCACACTCTTTGCAAGTTCCTTTCCAGGGGGGAATTCATCCTCTAGTCTACCTGCAGTCTCTGATCCTGGGCCTTGCTACTCTTTGCAGACCCCAGGACTGGGGTAGTCAGGCCAGGGACCACCCACTGTCTCTCCTCTAGGCTTCTTTTGGAAGCCCCAGTCATGGCCTGGCTGTCTTCTGGAACTATCAGCTTATTTCTGCAAATGTCAGTGAGGTCCACCCTCTTCCTACCTCATTTCTCCAAGAAAGCAGATGGGCAGGGCCCTAGACTTGGTGACATCCACACCTGAGTCCAGGCCCCAGTGGGTTACTTCATGGCTGAGCAACCATAATAAAATAATTTACAAGAGTCACATAAGTGTCCGGTTATGAATTAACTAGGAATGCACCAGCATGTGGTATTGTGGTCAAGAAAGAGTGGTCCTCCACCACTTACTGTCTGCATGACCTTGGGTCTCCAGGAGATTCAGTCTACTCACCTGTGACATGGAGACACTAGCATTACCTACCTCAGAGGGTGGCTGTCAGTTAAATGAGCTGATAATGTGGGTGGGTGAATGAACTTGGCTGGCCCCTGGTTGGAGTCTTCTGATCTCTCCTAGCCTTATCTCTTGTCAGGATGACTCTGGTCCTCCCTGTCTCCCTTCCCTGGACCTTTTGTCCTCTTGCACCTCACTGTGCCTTGCTCCCCAGTGGGCAGTGGATCTGGGCTGAGAGGTAGGTCTGACAGTGGTCAAGGACACGTACTCCTTGTGTCACCTTGGGCAAGGGGCTGCACGTCCCTGAACTTCAGCTCCCTCCTTGGTAGAAGGGGTAAGACCTCTACCCCTGTGGTGGGGGGCGGGATGAGATGACAACGAAGGCTGTACCCGGGTCATACCAGGTTCTCCACCGTGCGCAGGTAGCGGGTGCAGTGGCTGTGGCCATTGTAGTCCGACAGGTCGGCGGCCGTGTACCCGTCACGGTCGCGGACGTCCAGCTCCGCGCCGTTCACTACCAGGATCTGGCAGCACTGAGGGGGCATGGGGTGAGCACCTGGCGGCGACCGGTGCCCCGCGCCCGGGCGGGGCTGTGCTGAGAGCGCGGCGCCAGCAGAGGGCGCGCGCCCCGCCCGGGCCCCGCCCCGGGCCCCGCCCGCCCCTAGGCCCCGCCCCTCTCGGGCCGCCCTGACCTCCAGCTCGCCGTTCTCTGCGGCGTCATGCAGCGGGGTCCCGCCCGACAGGTCGGCCGAGATCTCGCCGCCGTGCAGCAGGAGCAAGCTGAGCACTTTGGAGTGGCCGCGGCTGGCGGCGAAGTGCATGGCTGTGGCGCCGTCTTTGTCCTGCTCCGACAGGCTCACGTCGGTGCAGCTCACCTGGAGAGAGGGGCGGAGAAAAGGGCGGGGACTGGGCACCAGGCCCCTCCTGGCTGGGCCACCGCCCCGTGCCCATTCCCAGGCCCCCTCCCTTCCTGTGACCAGCTCACCAGCCACGCGATGACCGAGCTGTGGCCCATCTGTGCTGCTGCATGCAGCGGGGTCATGCCATCGTGGGCGCGCGCGTGTGGGTCCGCGCCGCACTCCTGCACCAGGTACTGCGTCACCTCCAGGTGGCCCTCCTGGCACGCCAGGTACAGGGGCGTGGCACCATTCTTGGTTTGGGCATTCACTCCCCTGCGAATATGCAACACCCACCATGGTCTCTCAGTGCCGCCGGTCGTCCTTGCCTCAATCCTGGGAGCCCCGGAGGACCGGGAAAGTGGGTTGGACTAGGTCCTACAGCAGCCTCCCGGTCCCCTCGGCTGTGGTCCCACCCACAGCAGCCTGGTTTTTATAAAGCATC